AAAATATATAAATAAGAAGAGAAAAAAAAAAAATTACAAATTAGCATTGAATTCAATGGAGCACATTACATGGTTTACATGGGGAGGAAAAGCCGAAGGGTTAAAACAAGAAAGACACCCCTAAGCTTGACAAATCAAAAGCATCCTTAGCCACATAAAGCTTGCAATAGCTTATGTAAATTGGTGATAGGGACATAAGTTAAATTATTATTTTTTTTTTCTGGGTCTGAAAAAAAAAACAATGGATGTTGAACTTAATCAGACAACTGAGTAAATACCTAGCCATATTTTTTATTTTCACACCAAAAAATTAATCGTTTACGTATAAAAATAATAATAATTTAAAGTGAATAGTAATTGCCCTTTGTTTGTCATGGCAAATAGGTGGAACTGCTCTAATGGGCGGGCTATTAAAATCAGTGGCAGTTTTCCCTAGAGTAATTGCCCTTCTTGTAATCATCGTTCTATAGGGAATTTGTGTTGGACTGAGGAGTCCCGTGGATTTTCCCCAGAGGCGGGGTTTTACCACGTAAAATAATTCTCTGCGTGTTCCTTTATTTTATGTTCAGCACGCTTCAGGATTGATAAACCATATCAATCATGCTACAGAAGTTTATTTTATGTTTATTGATTATAATATTACATTGGCCTATTCACCCCCCTCTAGACATTTTTAGTCATCCTACAGGTATTATCACATACTATTCTTTGATTGCATATAAAATCTAAGCATTTTACTAGTCCTATCTAATCGTCCATATCAAATCATAGTTTTTTTTATTTAAAACATGAGATGTGAGCAATGACCATCTTCTTTGAACCCCATAGGCAACAATTGTACTAGTTCAGACTTGACTATATGCGCACAAAGTTGCAAAAACAATCCAGCCAAATCATCAAAACTTAACAGTCTCAAAAAGGAAAACCAAAGGGGGTTGTAGAGAAAAGAGTTCCCGACTTAACATGAACACGCCTAGTTAGTAGTAACAGAAACCTTTACTCTAGTTGCCGTGACGTGACTTGACTTTACAAAAATTCAAGAAAAAGAGAAGAGTGAAATAATTAGGCATGCAGCGTCAGTGGACAAAAATTCAAGAATTCACACACTGTACTAGTTTAGACTTGACTATATGCACACAAAGTTGCAAAATCATCAAAGCTTGAAAAAAGTAGAGAAGAAATAGCCCAAGCACTTTCGGCGAAGAAACCGTCATGCATCATGCACGCATTCAAACAAAAGAAAATGGTATATATAAATTGCAGAAATAAAACCTGCGCACATGGTGTTGCCTAAAATGGGATTATCGCTGGAGTCTTTGTGCAAGTAATCACTTTAAACTTTTAGTCTTTGTGCATGATCGTAATAGATTTGCATAAGAGGGCTTAATTAGGATTTTATCAATTGATTAAATATTTATTTACCTTCAAAGTAAATTAGGACTGCTTTGCACCCATTAATGCAACACAGTCCAACTTTATATTCTAATGCATGTGATGTGAGGATGAAATGTTTGCTTCGAGACACAAATTTTTAATTTTTAATTTTTTTTTTAGTACAAGTCATTAGGAGGGTGAGGTTTACACAAATATTCATTCGTTGTCTAATTTTACACAAATCTTTTGATGCTATGGCCCTTTGAAAAACTAGTGGTCGAAAAACATAAATAATTTTACCCCAAAAAAACATAAAAAGAACTTTAGTGGTAGTTGTAAAGAACAGTCTTCATCGTAAATAGAATTTCAGTGGTAATCTTCAATGTATACATATATATAAAAGGAAAGTTTAAAAACTGGAGGCATTGACAGACATGAGCTTAGTCTAATTGGCTAGAACTGATGTGTTCCTCACTCAGCAATAGAATTCGAATCCCCCTCCAAATAGTTTAAATTAAATTAAAGTAAAATATCGCTCGCATAAGAAAATTAAATTAAAAAAAACTGGACGCATGGATTAAATGTGACTACCAAGTCATATTAAAAGTAACTCTGTCATTTCCATTATTTACAAAAATTGTCATCTAAAACTCCCTGACGATCTATAATCGGATAGAAATAATTGAGAATTTTTTTTCTTTCCAATCTCATGTAAACAGGTGGGCTGAAGGCTTAAAACATGAAAACTGGTTGATATAGCATTTTTGTTGAAACGAATTCTTCATCAAATTTTGTATTTTATCATATAATAACTTCACAAGATAACTTTCAATAATAATGAACAAGAATAATTCATTTCGTGACAGTAACATAACCTATTGTTTTTTTATTTAGAAAAAATAAGCACCATAAGGACAACATCGTTTGCATTTCTTCAAACTCTCCCCATTTTTTTCCAATTTTATTTTCCACGCATAATGTATTTGGAGGGTTGGAATTCTTCTCTCCCTCCCTCTCTCTCTCTCTCTCGTTTGCAATTTTCTACTGATTGATCGGCCCATGAACATAGAATAGCTAAAGCTGTTTATGGGCCGGGTCGAATCCCAACTATGTAACCCATCTTTGTTACAGCCACTTAGAAAATAAATTCAAAATATATAAATAAGAAGTAAGAAAAAAAAAAAGTTTACATGGGGGAGGAAAAGCCGAAGGGCTAAAACAAGAAAGACACCCCTAAGCCCGACAAACTCAAAAGCATCCTTAGCCACACAAGTGTTGCAATAGCTTATATAAATTGGTGATAGGGACATAAGCTTAGGTATATATATTCCTAACTACTGAAGCTATAAACTTATTGCTTAATGATCTCAACATTTTGGGCATACAACAGGCACATCCCACACTTTTCGAGCTTCAAAGCCGATAATGATTCGTCGGAAAAAGTATGTATGTATACATAGAAGTCAACAGAGACCTTAGTAACAAGTTTGTAAGAGCATCCACAGTGGGGGGTGTATATGGGGGTGTATGTTAAATATACACCCCGAGTCATCGGAATGGTCTCCAATGGTGAGATGTAAATGGATGTAAATATACATCACCACCATGGAGATGTAAAATAAAATGTATATTTACATCCATTTTTACATCCCTTGCAGGCGGGACCCACCCGAGAAAAGAGAAGAAAAATAAAGAAAAGTCAATATAAAAGGCTGGGACCCACGGCTATACCCCCGAATTTACATCCCCTACTGGAGCAAAAAACATATTTACACCCCCCGGATGTGTAAAGGGGATGTAAAAGTGGCTTTACACCCCCGAATTTACACCCCCCCACTGTGGATGCTCTAAAACGCATGGGGACTTTGAGCTCCCTCTACAACTTCAAAGAAATTATACCATCACACAAACACCTCATGGGAATCTTCAAAACCGCTTGCATCCAAATACCGATAATCCAAATTATGGTTGATTTCATGGGTTTCACCATTAGTTTTGAAGTTATACTTACATTCCAACTTCATATAACGTGCATCATTACTTTCTTCATATGCAACAATAAGAGATAGAGTGAAACTTAAGAAAAACTAGACTACCAGCAAAAGCACCTCAATCCATCTTAATGTAGAAAGCCTTTATGTAGCCCATGGAAAAAAATCGAAACTCAAGTTTGGGTGGGTGGGATTTACACAAATATTCATTTAGTGTATGAGTTTACACAAATCTTTTTATGCAGCCCTTTGAAAACCTTGTTGGCGCTAAAACTAGACAGGTAGTAAGTAGACCAACTTAAAGATGAGGTGAATGTTGAAGGTGAGGACCCTCAGTATGTGAAAGCATTTGGTAAGTAAGTAAACATACATACAGAAGACAAATGTACGTGGTTCACCCGAATAATGGGCTACGTCCACAGAGAAGTATGTTCTCATTATAATAACGTGTGTATACATTGTACATAGGGTTAGACCCAAGGGGAAGAGGAAGAATACCGAAGGCCGATGCCGAAGGCTGAAGGCAGATGCCGAAGGCTGCTGGCCGAAGGCTGAGGATCTGGCTGATGGCCAATGATTCGTGGGCTTGTAAATGGGCTTATGGGTAAGCCCATGAGGCCTTAGTAGCCTGCCCAACCTCTTTCTTCCTCTTCTTTCTCCCTCCTCCCTTTTGAAGGAAAGGGGTCTTCTTTTATAGGGAAGGGAGAGTCCCCTTCTCTTGTGTTTTGTCGATGTGGGACTCCCTTCCCTTTGCTTGGATTAGCTTGGCCAGATATTGTACAAACAAACCTAATGGTCGAAAAAGGTAGATAATTTGACAAAAAAATATATAAATAGAACTTCAGTGGTAGTTGGAAAGAAAAGTCTTCAACGTAAATAGAACTTCAATAGTAGTCTTCAACATATGTAGATAAAAAGCAAGTAAAAAAACTGGACGCATTGACAGACATGGGCTTAGCATAATCAGGTAGGGCTGATGTGTTTCTACTTTGCAATAGAGTTCGAATCCCCCTCCAACTAGTTTAAATTAAAAGTAGAATATCGCTTGCATAAAAAATTAAATTTTAAAAAAAAAAACTGACGCATGGATTAAATGTAACTACCAAGTCATATTAAAGTAACTATGTCACTTCCATTATTTACAAATTAAAGTGTGAAAATTTTAAGTTTTTATGTCCCTATAATTGGTGGAAAAAAGTGTGAAAATTACATTTAAAGTTGACCCAGAAATTCCATGATAAGCCAATCTTTCATTGACTTTGTTTCTGCACTAATTGAGAGGCCATTGCTCTACAAAAAAAAGGCCCCCAAACTCCAAAGTGATGTTAACCTTATTATAGATCTGAGTTTCCAAAAATATCTACTCTTTTATGCCCCCAGTCTCATAATATCTAGTGAGAAATTTTAAGTTTCAGCAAGCACAGCAGTTGCATTTAATGCATCCATCGACTATTTGGATCATACTTATGTATAGGTTAGGACTGATAATAATTACTTAAATGACACTATTAACAATTTAATATTTGAATTGAATGAAGAAAATTACTAAACTCAAAAGCATCCTGAGCCAAAAAGCTTGGCGATGGAGAGGGCGAAAGGTTAAAACAAGAAGAAAGACATCCCTCGCACATCTCAAATAAAATGAAATTTTGAATTTAGGGATATCGGCTTGATCTACAAAGCCCTCTGCTTTATCATCTCACCATCTTTGCCATACAACAGACATATCCCCCATTTCGAAAAGAGTGGGCCACCATAACGATCAGTGACGATTATGTCAACATTGACCTCAGTAACAAGTTTGTAAAACGCAGTGGGGCTTTGAGCTCTCTCTACTTCTTCTTCAGAGACATCCTCTACTTCTTCTTCAGAGACATCCTCTTCTTCTTCTTCAAAGACATCCTCTACGTCTTCTTCAAAGACATTATCATATCACCACACAAACACCTCATGTGAATCTATGCTTTCAAACCCCATAGTATCCAAGCGCAGATCACACGAAGGATGGTGGACTTCACCATTACTAGTTTTGAAGTTGTAGTTGCATATAACGTGCGGATCCCTATCCCATAGATCATTGTCAATAACAACAAGAGATAGAGCGAAACCCAAGAAATCTGTGCTACACCAATCAGGAGGAAGCTCAATCTTTATTGAACATCCCTCACTTTTATGGCTGAACCAATTTGGAATTTCACTCCCAGGACATCTAATGGCAACGAAAGATCCCTGTACCATGGATATGGACGTCATAGTTATTAAATTCGTGAAGAAAAAAAAAAGAGCAACTTCTTCAACAGAAGTGAGTTAGACAGACAGAGTGTGTGCGTGCAAGAGAGAGAGAGAGAGAGAGAGAGAGAGAGAGACCTCAAAATCATCATAGCTATTATCTGAATCATATGATGGTTGTTCAATTCTGTCTTCTTTAAACTTTGAAGACGCAGTTGCCATTCGCATAATTCTGAGCTGTGCATCACCCATTATGTTGCTTCGTGCATTCTCATCCAACTTTGGGCAATTAGAAAATATATGTTTCTCATAAAGCCCTAGATAAAATATATATTCTTCCCAACCTTGTGTGATTGCAGTGCTTGAACTTGACACTGTCTTCAGTGACGTGCAACCATCTGCTTCAAGACGTTGCAACAATGGGGGAAACTCTGGTAAAGATTCAAGGCTCTTGCAACCATTGAGGAACAGGCGAGACAGTTGAGCAGCTTGTTTGACGCTTGCAGGTATGCTCTTAATTTTGGTCAAACTCAGATTTAACTCTTGTAATGAGGTTAAGCAAAAGAGGTCATCAGGGATTTCTTGTATACTGCACTCAACCAGGTGTAATTTTCGAAGCGCAACTAGATTTCCAATTGATGGGGGTACCTCTTTAACCATTGTACCTGATAAATTTAGAAACTCCAGATGTTCCATAGCCTCTGAGATTTCTGGGAAGTGTTGAAAGTTAGAACAACCACTGAGATCAAGGGTCTCCAGATATTTCAACTTCCAAATGTTCGTTGGGAGACTCACAAGGCTTTTGCAATTGATTAGTTTAATTGCAGTGAGACCAACAACAAACTCTATTGATGTATTCCTCAATTCTTTTACTGTTGTACTACTCAACTCTAGCACTGTTGTATCCCTGGGAAGCTCCCAAAACTCGCAAAGAGATGTGCAGCCTTCTAGACTAAGAGAACCCAAGAGTTTCAGCTTACAAGTGTTGCTTGGAAGACTCATAAGGTGTTTACAACATGTAATATCTAAGTGAGATATTTTTTCGTGAGACCAAACAGATGAAGGCAATTCCTCTATTGCTGTCCCATGCAAATTTAAGAATTCAAGATTGCACGGCATCTTGGGAAGATTTTTGAGATTTGTGCATAGCCCAAGGTTAAGATAAGTAAGCTTGCTAAGATGTTGAAAATACGAAGGAATTTCAACCAAACTTCTACAGCTGTGAAGATTTATATGCTCAATATTTAGACTCCGAGAGAGATTTGGGACTTCAGATAGATGCGTGGAGGAACCAAGACAGAGATTTGGGACTTCAGATAGATGCGTGAAGGAGATATGACAACTGATCCGTTTTACAATCACATGACTCTATGACAAATTAAACAAGAATTAATAACTTAACTTTAGATTATTACTTTCTAGGCCACATGTTATACAAGAACTAAAATAAGCATATATAATATACCTGGTCTTCATTCCAAAGTGGCCCCACAACTAGGGTGTCCGGCATACTAAGGCCAACAAGATTTTGAGCAGAAAATTTTGATGGCAAAGATTTCAAAGGATATCGCTCCCAGTCAAGATATCTAAGAGAATTGGGAAGATCAAGAGAAATTTTTTTTAATGGAAAATAAAAATTGACACGTAGGAATCTCAGTTGATACATCTTTTCGAAGTTTGCATGTTTCAACTCCTTTTTCTCAAGCATGGAAAAGGATATTGCTTGAACACGTCCATCTCTCTGACAATCAAGAGCAAAATATAAATATAAATATAATATACAAAATTACATTTGTAGGAATAATCTGACTTGTTTATTGTAAATGTGAATATTACTATGTACCTCGTTATTTGTCAATACTTGATAGACATCCTCATCATTGAACAACCTACTGCGTTGTTCTCGAGCAATTGCCCTGCCCATTTCTTGCACCAAATCATGCATCTCTATCCATGCTTCTGACTGCAAATCTATCCAGTTCCATTTTTCTGAAATTGATATGAGAGACCTATCAATAAGGTCATTGATTCCCACTTCCCCAAAGAAATCACAACTATCTAACATTCTTTCTACATCATTCCTCTTACAGCCTTTATGAAAACATGCTATATCAAGAAATATCTCCTTCTCATTGTCATCTAATCCATCGTAACTTACTCTCAATACTTTCTGGATTTCTCCGATTTGAACTCGTTTCACTTTTTTCCATTGAACTTCCCACTCTTGTTTGCTCTTGCAACGACGGAATGAGGACCCCATAACTTTAAGAGCTAATGGAATACCCTTAATATAATCCACCACCTCTCTTGACAACTTAGGATGATCTGTTGTTGGAGACTTATTTCCAAAAGCATGCGAATGAAAGAGCTCAAGAGCTTCATTAGAACCTAATCCCTCAACATTATATATCTTTTCATGGTCAACTTTTTGCTCAAGCAGGCCTTTATCTCTAGCGGTTATAATGATTCGACTTCCTTGGCAAAACCAATCATGATCACCAACAAGATATTCTAGTTGTTTTCTAGCATTCACATCATCGAGAACAATGAGCACCTTCGTACGCTTGAGCCTAATTAGAATATGATGTGGTATAGACGGAGTGTCGATATTTACATCTTCATCCTTTAATATCTCACCAACAAGTTTATTTCTCAACTGATGTAGTCCATTCGTTTGTTCTGAGTTCTCCCTGACATTTGCAAGAAAACAACAAACTTCAAATTTAGAGGATTGCCTGTGAAATACAGCATCAGCAAGGGTGGTCTTGCCAATACCACCCATGCCCCAAATACCTACACAGCAAACACCTGGTGAATCCAAGCATAATAACGACTCAATTTTCTCAATTTTCTTTTCAATTCCAACCAGACCCTTTAAATCACTTGACGATTCGCGATTCAATTTGGTCAAAACATCTTGAACAACTTCCTCAACAAAATCGGCCTCCGTCCTGGCAAATATCATTATGAAAGACAAACAATAGTAAGTATGCATCAAATGATAACAAGTAGAAATTGATACAAGCTAGAGATTTAGTATACCCTGTTTTGCTTGAATCATGAAACCCAGAAATATTGGCTGCTTCCTCCAAAGCAGCCCTCCAGTTGGCCACCTCATCCATACTGCCCTTAAAACGTTTCTTAAGTCTCCAAAGCAGCCCTCCAAGTGCATAAGTTCCCTTTTGTTTTCGTACATCTGATGGATCTATGCGATAAAAAATGGGTATAACAATATGTCCATGGCTTTTCTTGCATCCAAGTATATGCACAAGTTCTTTCAAACACCATGTGGAAGAAGCATAGTCTTTTGAGAAAATGACTAGTGCAAGTTTCGATTTCTCGATTGCTTCTAGAAGGGTAGGTCCAATGTCGTCTCCTTTCTCAAGTCTGTTATCTATGTAGGTGTCAATGTTCTTCCGAAGTAAAGCCTTGTGAAGATGGCTGGTAAAAGCATCGCGTGTGTCCTCACCTCTGAAACTAAGAAACACATCGTACTTTTCTTGAAGGGGAGCAGGAAAAGGAAGAGGAGGAGAAGAAGAAGAAGAAGAAGAATCCATATCCCTATCCAAAACCTGCAAACCTGTCAAAACATGTATATATGCAAATAACGGTAGGTTCAAAAAATCTTCGCAAATAAGTATAAGAGAGCTAATAATTAAGTTAGAGACAGACAGTACCTCCAAATCAAGAAAGAAGCTGCAGAGATATTAATCGCCTTATCAGCAAATATTAAGAAAGAAATAATAGTATGATTATGAAGACCTCAGGATGACATCTAGAAAGAAGTGGTAGAGCTTATAGCCATATCATGTTTTAGCAATCGTACAAAAAGCAGAACGGAAAAACAATGGAAATAACGAAAAGAAAAAATCCCAGAAAATAATCCAACTCTTTCAAGCAGGGACAGATCAGGATTTCAATTAGGATGGGCTAGATTCATATGAGGTTGATGTCTAAAATTATCCCCACTAATCCCCTTGAAAAATGGTGGGATTAGTAGGGATAAATTTTAGGCATCAGCCTCCAATAAATAGTCGATCCTAATCCTCTAAGTTAGAAGACAACACCCATACTATTCTTTGATTGCACATGAAATCTAAGCACTTTACTAGTCCAATCTAATCCCCCATATCAAACCTCGTCTGCTTATGAATTCTTTGAATTTTATTCTTTGATTCTTTGTTTGAAAGGCCATTGCATTGTATATTGGGCTTTTGTAAAGTCTATTGATTTTTTTTATTGAGTTAGCTAAATACACTGGCCCATTCTATAAGACTTGATCAATGGGCTGAGTTCAACTAAGGCTGGTCCAGGTTGTGGACAAGGTTCTTATTTTAGTTTTAGTAATTTATTTCTATGTTAATTGGGGAAAGAAGATTCGACTTACAACCTTTAGTTATTTATTTTAATTTGCAATTATTTAAGTCGACCAATCGAAATCAGATGTCTCAAGCTCCATCATGCGATGTCTAAATTTTTGAGATATGGGTGGTCGAAAAATTGCTCGAACCAAATTTACATCGAATTTCTATGTTACATTGCTTACCAGTTTTGGAGAGTGCCCAAACCAAACTAAACTATTCGACCAAAAATAAAAATAAAAAAAAGCCAAACTAAACTAACTTATTAATTTTATTTTAGTTTTGACACATGACATTTTCTTATTGGTTATCACTATTTATTTAGTATAGCATCCCACACTTTGATATTACACATGCATTTCTATCTCAAACTTCCTGCGTCTTTTTAATGTGAAGTTTTTTTTGATCAAATGTTATTTAATTTGCGATGTCAAATGTTTTTTTGGGAAGTTAGTTTCTTATGAAGAGACTAGGGGTCTAATTCGGCCGGATCAAATCGGAAACAGGTGTTTCGAATTTCAATCCGAAATGTTTTGGAATTTATTTTCAGTTCCAATGCAGATTCCAAAAATTCAGAATATAATAACTCTATTCTGATAAGAAATTTTAGGCATTTTCGGAATTTACTATGTTCGGAATATTCAGACAATAATTTCGGAATATCACTTTATTTTAATTTTCTTGTGAATCTTGATTAAGCTAACCCCAAAACAAAATAGTTCCATACCTCAGATTTTCCATGGTTTCCAGGTAAGCCAGACTTCTTGGTTCTTTTTTGCTTCTTTTGATGGTAGCATGCTCAGGAACCTAATTGGTAACTTGAGGGTTGAAATCCACTTCGTTTGTCATTTATAGATCTGCAGTAAACATATACAACAATCAGCAAATCAGATCTATTAGGTGAGTAAAAGAAACACAAATAGAGACTTTGGGGCAAACCTGCAGTGGTGGTGGTGGTATTGCAAAAAGAAGGACTCGATAGAAATGGTTGCTTCGTTTCATCTTGTTTCTTCTCTAATGAATAGAGTCTACATGGGGAAGAGTGGTTTCGTTTTCCAAGACCCAGGCACCAATTAAATGCCATGTTAAAACTTTTTTGTTTTTTGGATTGTGAAAATCTGAAGTATTTTTGGTCGAGTGGCATGCATTAGAGCAAGTCCAGCGGACAGCCTAGCCTAAGGCTGGGGGGGGGGAAAAAAAAAGGTTGTTCCAGGGGACAGCCCAGGCCCGGGGGAGGTGTGGGACCCACCAACTCGGGCTGGCCCGAAGGCAGCTTCCGCCCGAGGTCCAAAACGAGGGCGGTGACATCACGCTCAACGTCAGGCTGATGTCAAGAACGCGGGGTCAACTGCTGGAAGCCACGTGGCACGCCCCAGCGCTCCGATTTGCTTCTACAGCCTTCATCCAACGGCTGGCGTTTTTCCAGCAATAAAATTATGAAAGAAAATCGAAATTTTTTATAAAAAAATACTTTAAAATTCTGATTTTTTTCCCTATAAATACCTATCAATACCCTTCACTTTCAACACCAATTCTCATACATTTTATTCTACTTCTACGATTACTCAACATTTTATTCACTCTTCATTCAACATTTTCATCTCTTTCACCTTGTATTTTTATTTCTTATTTTTATGGCTTCTTCTATTGAAATTCATCCGAAATTTGAACCCAAAAATCTTATCCGGAAATTTTATCCGATTATGAATAGTCTTGACACATAGGAACCCGGAAATCTTATCTGAAAATATTATCCAAATTAATTATTGAGGTAAAAAAATTTGTGAAAAAAACAAAAAAATGAATAGTAATTGCCCTTAGCCATGGCAACGGGTGGAAACACAAAATATACTATTTGTAAGGGCAACCACTATTCACGTGAATAGTGGCTGCCCTAGCTCCCCTTGCCATGGCTAAGGGCAAATGGGTGGAGTTGCTCTTAGGGTCCAATTAAAGGCCAATTAAGACAAGCCACGTTTAAAGCAAGTTTTGAGCAAATTGTTTGTGTTGCTTTGCTTTTTTGTTTTTTTAATCCTAAGGTGGATGACATTAATCTATTGAAAACAATTATATATATATTTTTAGAGAAAAACAAGACTATATAATTTTTTTCCAATAGTCTTAAATTAATATATTCCTATGTTTAGCATATACTAGCCTCTTGGCACACGTTCACGCATGTGCCAATTAGTTTTATTTTTTATTTTTTTTAGAATTAAGAAAAGATAACATGGGTAGTTATGTTCCATAAAAGTAGGACATATTATCTGATTTTGTTTTTAATTTTAATTTTTAATTATAAAAAATGTGAATTTATTATCCTCCTTTAATTAATAATTTCAATTCTTAGTGTTTGAATTAACTAAGGGCATTTTTTGGTATTTTGAATGTTTCACCATTCTCTGTCTTTTGCTATATATATATGGATATGAATATGAATATTGAAATGAAACATATATAAGACCTATAAAAAAAAACAATTATAATTAGGGTAAGTGAGCTCTACTTGACATACATGCCTATGCGTTGTCAATAAGCTAACTCCTCTCTCCTTCAGCTAACTTTAGCATCGGAGAGCCTTCAGCTAGTACCACACCGGTGCCTTAGGTCTCACCTACTGCTTTCTTTCCACATCATCTGTAAGTTGGTCCTACCACTATCTGTCTAGTTTTTGCACCAACAAACCCAAGGTTTGACTTTCTACCATTTTCATACATATGTCATCGTTCTATCAAATGTTCTGATAAATTATGACGTGATAATCAAAGGTATCACGTGAACTCACTTATATTGTGTCATGTCGACTGAAAAATCAAGTAAAACAATTAAAATAAAATAAAAACTATTTTTGTCCAAGTGGAAGTCCATGTCATTAAAAAAAAAAAAGGATACAGATTATGTAACGAATGGAGTAAATTGTAGGTTTTCCATGATTGTGTATGTAATTATAAATATCCCCAAATATATATATATATATATATATATGAACTTAATAACTCGAGGATGTTTTGTAATTTGTCCTTATTTTAAAAACAACTTGCTATTAACCAAAATGAATAAATAAATAAATAAATAAATAAAACCTGTGAAATAGATGTGTTGTGTAGGCCTGGAAAATGGGCCGGGCCGGGCCAGCCCGGCCCTAAGAAGTGTGAGCCCAAGCCCTATCTTTCATGGGCTTTTTTGGCCCTAGACAACTATCGGGCCTATATATATAACATTATTAAGACACAATTCCAATCCGAAAACAATAATAAATCTTCAAATCAATATAATATTTAGAGACTATAAATGCCAAGGCATTTATCAAAAATCTCAACTAAGATTTATGCTAAAATCCAATAATCCAAATGAGGATTTCGGCAATCTAGCAAGAACTTCAAATGGAAGGCCCATATACAAATGACTGACCCTGCCAAGCTATTTATAAAGGAAAAAATAATTGTGTTGATGTGTGAAGTCGATGTGGGACAGAAATAGACACCCACCCCCACTTACTCTTTCTTTTTCTTCCTTCCCAGCCTCCTCCACTTTATCTTTCTTCCTTTCAAGAGCGGGAAGAAGGAGACGAAGGAAGAGAAGAGAGCGATGGAAAAAAATAGAAAAAAGAGAGAGATATGGAAGATGACGCAAAAGAGGGAGAAGAGAAAAAAAATTGCAGAGACTAACAGAGGAAGAAGGAGGAAAAATAGAAAGAGAGAGGGAGAGAAGAATAAGGAAAAAAGAAATAAAAGAGAGAGGGAGAGATGGAAAGTAACGGAAGGAAGAAGAAGGGAAAAAAATAAAAAATGAAGGTGTTGGGAGGAGAGATGAGATATGAGACAAAGCATGCTCTTAAAAAATGAAGGTGTTGGGGAGATATGAGACAAAGTAACGGGCCTTTTCAAACTATTAATATTATATATAATATAACTATATTAATAAAATAAAATAATTATAATCGGGCCGGGCCGGGCTTTTAAAGGGCTTAAAAATGAAGCCCAAGCCCTACTCATTAGACTTCGGGCCGGGCCAAGCCCGCCCATTACTTCGGGCCGGGTAAGCCCATGCATTAAAAAATAGGGCCGGGTTCGGGCCAGCCCATCGGGCCCGGGCTTTTTTTCCAGGCCTAGTGTTGTGTGACTCTTATGTCGTCTTGCTCTGGATTCCATTACCCACCATACATTTTTTATATTGCAAAGATCAAGATAGTCTTTTTTTTTGGTCTTAAAGCAAAGAT